CCTGTAAGTTCAATAAAAATCACAGAAGATAACTTTTTCACTTAATAAAATTACTACAATAAAGAAGAAATTATTTTCAAAACAATTAAATCTGAGTCCAAATACAACCAAACTGAGTTTTTTTAAGTTTGTTTTAAAATGTTCAGTTATTTAGACTGCAGATCAACATCAAGCTGTTTTTTATCTGTATTCTCTTTAGTTTCTGACCCTTAAGAGAGCCCAGCAGAGACACAGCTTGTGTTTTTCTTTTCCAGGTAATCCCAGTGATGACCTGCGCCTGACGTTCCCGGTACGAGACGGCGTTGTGCTGGAGCCGTTCAGACTGGAGCACAACCTGGCTGTCAGTAATCACGCATTCCAGCTCCGAGAGTCCGTCTACAAGACTCTGATAATGAGGTGAGACTGTCAGCATTCGTCTGACGGTTGTTGTTTATTTCAGAATGAACAGAGGTTTACAGTTGTAGTTTTATTTTCAGTTGTGATCGTTTTTGATTGTTTAAAGTGAGATTCAGTCCGTGCTTGAAGTGGGTTAAAAACATGCCAGTCCTCTCATCTTAAGGAGGTTCAGAGGTTAATTATTGACTTGTGTTTCGAGCTTTACTGTTAACAATCCTCTCTGTGCCGCTGATTCATCATCTAATTCTTTAATACCTTTAACATTTCTACATACAGTCGATAGACTTTTCAGAAGACTCTGGTATGTAAATATTTATTTAACAAAGACAGAAATACATGGTCCAACAATGAAAGTACTCTGTGGAATGATCAGCTGAGTTTTATTGCAACAACAGGAAACACAGAGAATAACATTGAGCCATCAGACTGTCCCCCTGCTCTCTGCTCCATGCCCTCTTTGAGGCAGTTGAGGCTTCATATATACTGTTTAACAAACACTATGTCTTCGTAATAAAGCAAGATTTCATCCTAAGGAACTGCTGGGTCAAGAGAAAACACAAAGATAAACACAAGTGATATCTAAGAATGATTGTTGTGAGCAAATCTTGTTTTGACTTTAATCATTCTATCTGCTGATAAACAGCATGTCATGAAAACCTAGGTCATTAAGGTGTGTCATGAATTACTGGCTTAAACCTAAAAGTATTATTTCCATTACACTGCGTTGTGTGCCTCTGCTTGGCTCCTTGTGCTTAACTTTTACCGACTTGTTCCTGTGTGTTTACCTAATCGACTAACACTGACCCAGTCAGAAGCAGTGATTTCAGCTGATGACCTGTGGGTAATCTAGCTTATAACTTTGAACCATAGTTGAAACTAAAACCTACGCAGCAGCATGTTTATGAGAAGTGGTGATCAGCTATAAAACATGATTAGTAAGTAAGTAAAGTTAAGTAAGTAAGTAAGTAAGTAAGTAAGTAAGTAAGTAAGTAAGTAAGTAAGTAAGTAAGTAAGTAAGTAAGTACGTACAAGTAAGTAAGTACGTACAAGTAAGTAAGTACGTACAAGTAAGTAAGTACGTACAAGTAAGTAAGTACAAGTAAGTAAGTAAGTAAGTACCAGTAAGTCGGTAAGTACCAGTAAGTACCAGTCAGTCAATCAAATTTATTAATTTCATTAAAAAAGAAACAAAACATTTCACACATGACAAAACAATACCAAATAAAATAAAATGAAAGGCAGCAGCAGAAGAAAAAAAATTCTTATGATATCTGCTCCTTTTAAAAAATATATTTTAAACAATGATAAACCAAATAATAAAAAAAAAAAATTCAGCTCCTCAGACAGAAACTAATACAAATTAAACAATTTCATATTTGTTTAACAAGTTTTCCTTGTCATTTTCTTAAAGTAATGAACTGATCCAATGCTCTTATAGTCATCCTTCATATTATTCCATAGTTTTATACCTTTTACTGAAGTGCATCTGTCCTTCAAATTTGTTCTGGTTTTCGGTTTAACAAACGTTTGTAATCCCTTCAAATTATAACAGCTTTCCCTCTTAACAAAATGTGATTGGATGTTTGATGGCAACACATTTCTGTGAGCCTTTTTTCCACTAAATATAAAAATGAAGAAGAAGTGCTGTGAATCACTGAGTACTGACCCCCTTTGAGCACCAGAGTTTTTATCAGTGTTTGACAGGTTGTTGTATTCATGAGTACAGGTACTTCTTTCAAGTAGTACTCCCACCTCGTACTCAGAAGTTGTCGTTTTGTACCAGGAAGGTTTGAGGTGATTACCATTTTGCACCCATTCACTTAACTACGTGATTATAGCTCCACGCGCCCTGCATTGGATCAAGCTGTACTTTATGTCAGACCATCTTTGTTGGGCTTGGATCCTCTCTCTCAGCTACAGTCATTAAATACTCGTGTAAGGCACAGATCCTCAGTAGTTCAGGTGTAATTAAGTGGATGCTGACTGATGGAGGCGGGTACCAGCCCCCTGCAGCTGCAGAGGATCTATGAGCCAAGAATAAAGACTCCACAATGCAGGTGTGTCAAAGATGCTGCTGCTTGTATGAAATACAGAGGAAGCACAACCGACCATGCTGTTATTTTTAGGTAAACAAGCTAAATTTTTTACATTATATTAGTATTAGTATTAGTAATGTCATGATTTAAATAAAATGCATTTTTTGAGATCTGCGTTTTTTAAAGTATCTGAAGTTGCAGCCTCAAATGTCCAGGCCTAACTATACCAATATTCAGAGTTGTAAAGCAGGACTATTCAACTGGCGGCCCCGCAAGTGACCAAAATTCGGCCCGCCAATTGGTTCATTCATCTCTTAAGCTCAAAACCCCAGTTTTCTACTTGAATTACTATAAATTCTTTTAGTTAGACATAGACATGTTTGGTATCTACAGAACCGTCAGACTCTTGGCTGCAAGCTGGTAAAAACCATTTCTATGAACATCCAAGACAGTTAAAACTACAAGCAGCTGAAGATAAAACTATGAAAATGAAAATAAAATTGGTTTACAGATTTGGCAAGTTAGGTTTCTGTATGTTGTAATCATGATTAAATGCAGCAAAATGAACTATTAAGGGAACAGATCTTTGTAATACTTGGTTTGTTTACATAATAAATTTAATTGCTGGATGTCCAGCCCCTGAGCTGTTGAACTGCAGTAACTGTGACCCCTGGAGCAGTTTAGTTGAATGGCCCTGTTGTAAAGTAACTAAGTACAAATACTTTGTTACTGTACTTAAGTAGAATATTTTGGGTATCTGTACTTTACTTGAGTAATTATTTTTCAGCCTACTTTTTACTTCTACTTCTTACATTTTCGTACAATTATCTGTACTTTCTACTCCTTACATTTTTAAAAAACGCAAGAAGTAGAAAGTTGTTACTTTTATTTCGTTTTTGCTTGTTTCCATTCCAGCTTGTTGTAAAAAATAAATACTATCCATATAAACTGTGCCTCCTAGATAGAGTGAATTTAACTGTGGTTGAAGGAGAAGTATAAATATATAAAATTCTGATACTGTATTAGTTTGTACACAAACTAATCATGTCACACTGTGACATAATCATTAAAATAAAAGTACTGTAC